TTTATGGAATTAACAGAAATTATGATTCATAGAAAGATAAATATTTTGTGCATTTAATAAACAATATAGGTTGGAGAGAAGGATAAGCAGATTGATAGTTTAGGATTTAAACTATGGTATTCGGGTAATAGTCATACTAAAAAATGCAGTAGGTGTGATTATAGATAAGAGTTTCAAGGATAATACTATAAAAATTAATATAATTTGAGATAGAATTATAGCTTTAAAGATTATAGTTGATGCTAAGATTATTAATATTATAATTTCTTATGCTCTTCAAGTAGGTTTGAATATGGGTTCAAAATTAAAATTTTGGGATGACTTAGGAGAATTAATACAAAAGATTCCTCTTGAAGAAACCATTTTTATTAGAGGAGATTTAAATGGACATGTTTGTAGAAAGGTAGATGATTTTAACATCATTCATGGTGGCCATGGGTTTAGAATGACAAATTAAGGTGGTGAGACCATGTTGGATTTTTAGCTTATGATTTTTTAATTGCTAATATCTTTTTTAAGAAAAGAGATGAACATCTCTTCACTTACAAAAATGTATATAGTAAAAATTAGATTGATTATTTTCTTATAAGAAAATTAGATTGTTTAGATTGCAAAGACTGTAAAGTTATTCCGAGTAAACATTTATATACCCAACATTAATTATTAGTTTTGAACTTTAAGATAAAGGGGCCGAAAATAAAGTAAAATTATATTCTAGTAGTAAATAAGGGCATTTAAAGAATATGAACATATTTATTTTTTAGAGTAAGATTTTATATCATAAGATTTTATTTGTGCATGAGGATGCAAATATTATGTGGGAAAAAATGGCTAGTGATATTAAGAATATTGCAAAAGATGTGCTTAGAGTGTCAAAAGAAAAAGCTCCTAATAGTAAAAATAGTTGGTGGTGAAATCCAATTATACAAGACAACACAATAACAACATACAACAACATCAAGCCTTTATCCCATAACGTGGGGTTGGCTACATGAATCCGTTTTCTCCATTGTGTCCTATTAAAAGTCAAATTCTCGTTTAAACTTAATAAAGAAATGTCATTCATTATATTTTCTAACCAAGTCTTTTTAGGTCTGCCTCTATCTTTCTTAACATAAGTCAAATATAATACCTCTACTCTTCCAACTGGGTCATCAGGAGGCCACCATTTTATGTGACAAAACCATCTAAGGCGACTCTCTCTAATATTATATTCTACTAGAGCTACTCCAACTTTTTTGCATATATGCTCATTTCGTATCCTATCTTTAAGGGTAAAGCCACTCATCCACCTGAGCATCCTCATCTCTTCCATACTTAACTTATTATTATGCTTCTCTTTTAATGGTCGACATTCAACACCATAAAGCATTGCAGGCCTCACCACCATCTTATAGAATTTTTCCTTGAGTTTGAGGGGTACTTTTCTATCACACAACAAGCCCGATGCATTCCTCCACTTCAACCATCCGATTTGGATTCCGCTGAAAATATCCCCATCTATTTGACCATCACTCTGAATAATAGATCCAAGATATCTAAAATGTGTAATCTTATTAATGACTTGATCGCCCAAAGTCACAATCCTCTCACTAGGTCTATTACTACTAAAATTATGCTCCATATATTCTGTTTTAGATCTACTCAAATGAAAACCTTTAGACTCTAAAGTTGGCCACCATAATTCAATAACTTCAACTCCCTCTCTAGTCTTATCAACAAGAAGAATATCATCAGCAAAAAGCATACACCAAGGTACATCCTCTTGCAAATGTCTAGTGAGAACATCCATGACTAAAGCAAAAAGACATGGGCTTAAGGATGATCATTTATGTAACCCAACCAAAATAGAGAAATACTTGGTCAAACCACCTTGTGTTTGAACACAAGTAATAACTCCTGCATACATATCTTTAATAATTTGAATATAAGCATTATTAACTCATTTTTTTTCAAGATCTCTCCATAGCACTTCTCTTGGAACTTTATCATATGCTTTTTCTAAATCAATAAATATCATATGTAGATCCTCCTTATTTTCTCTATATTTCTCCATCAAACCTCTTAATAAATGAGTGTCTTCCATAGTCGAACTTCCTGATATGAATCCAAATTGATTCATTAGTATCATGGCACAACCTATATTCCATAACTCACTCCCATAGTTTTAAAGTATGACACATTAACTTAACTCCTCTATAATTCGCACAATCTTATGCATCACCTTTATTCTTAAAAATAGGAAAGATAAAAAATAAAAAGAAAAGATAAAAAATAAAAAGATTTATTATAAAAATTAATTTAGATATAAAAATTCTAATAATTGAGAAAGATATAAAGAGACACGTAAGGAGTCTAAGAAAGCAATATGTGATGCAAAGATCTTAGCTTTTAATGATATATATAATAGATTAGATACTACAGAGGGAGAAATATATATGTTTAAGTTAGCCAAATAAAGAGCTAGGAGTAGTAAGGATTTAGTTCAAGTGAAATGTATTAACAATGAAAATCAAGAAGTACTTTTCTTATAAGATGATATTTAACAAAGGTTGATGAGATATTTTAATAAAATTTTTAATGAAGAATATAAAAATTTGATTGACTTTATTGACTTTAGCACGATAAATGAAAATAAAAATTTTTATTTTTAATCAGTGTATTAGTAAAATCGAAGTTAGAGATGTATTAAAGATTTAAAGAAAATGAAGTGTGGAAAAGCTTTTTGACCTGATGATATTCTAATAGAGGTGTGGAAATAATTAAGAGATGAAGGAATTTCTTGGCTTACTAAACTTTTTAATACTATTTTGAAGACTAAAAAGAAGTTAGATGAGTGGAGAATGAGTGTGTTAATTCGTATTTTTAAAAACAAAGGTGATGCACAAGATTGTATGAATTATAAAGGAATTAAGTTAATGTGTCATACTTTAAAACTATGGGAGTGAGATATGGAGTGTAGGTTGCAGCGTGATACCAGCGTGATACTAATGTTTCTCCAAATTAATTTGGATTCATGGCGGGTAGGTCTACTATGGAAGCCATACAATTATTAAGAGGTTTAAAGGAGAAATATAGTGAGATAACAAGGATCTTCATATGATATTTATTGATTTAGAGAAAGCATATGATAAAGTTCCAAGAGAAGTGTTATGGAGAGTTATTGAAAAGAATGGAGTTAATAATGCTTATATTCAAATCATTAAAGATATGTATGCAAGAGCTATTACTTGCGTTTAAACACAAGGTTGTTTGACCAAGTATTTTCCTATTTATGTTAGATTCTATCAAGTATTAACCTGAAGCCTATATCTTTTTTTGCTTTGGTCATAGATGTTCTCACTAGACATTTGCAAGAGGATGTACCTTGGTGTATGCTTTTTGCTTATGATATCTTCTTGTAGATATAACTAGAGAGGGAGTTGAAGATAAACTTAAATTATGGAGGTCAACATTAGAACCTAAAGGTTTTCGCTTGAGTAGATCTAAAATTGAATATATGGAGTGTAATTTTAGTAGTAATGGATATAATGAAGGGATTGTGACTTTGAGCGATCAAGTAATTAATAAGAATACACATTTTAGATATCTTGGATCTATTGTTTAGAATGATGGTGAAATAGATGGGATATTACCAATAGAATTCAAGTTGGATGATTGAAGTGGACGAATGCATCGGGCTTGTTGTGTGATAGAAAAGTCCTCCTCAAACTTAAGGGAAAATTCTATAAGGTGGTGGTGAGACCTACAAAGCTTTTTGGTGTCAAATGTTGGCCATTAAAAGAAAAGCATATTAATAAGTTAAGTGTCACAAAGATGAGGATACTCAGGTGGATGAGTGCCTTTACCCTTAGAGATAGGATATGAAATGAGCATATGTGTGAAAATGTTGGAGTACCTCCAATGGAAGATAAGATTAAAGAGAGTTGCCTTAAATGGTTTGGTCCTATAAAACGGCAGTCTTCCAATGTCCCAATTAGGAAAGTAGATGTATTAGATTTGACTTATGTTAAAAAAGGTAGAGGAAGACCTAAAAAGACTTGGTTAGAAAATATTAGAAATGATCTTTCTTTATTAGATTTAAATGAGAATTTGACTTTTAACAGGATACAATGTTGAAAAAGGATTCAAATAGTTGATCCCACATAGTGGAACAAAGGCTTGATCTTGTTGTTGTTAGTGATGGTGCATTAAATGGGCAAGCTTTTTATAAATAATTTTACTTCAATAATTAAATCCCTCCTATTGCTTCCTTAAAAATATTGAATAAAAAATTTTATTTTTTTTTTAATGTTTTGCTTGTCTAGACTAGCGAGGCTGATAATTGGCTTTCTTAATAAGGGTGCAAACGATTCATGCTAAGATTGAGTCATACCTAGCTTGAACTTGATTAATTAATAGAATTTAAACTCTAACTTTATTGAACTAGTACGGGCCGAATCATGAGCAGATGTATTTATTATTGAAGAGACAAAATAATTATAAGTTCAATATATATTATAATAAATTATTTAAAAAATAATAAAAAAAATATTTTAATATAAGAAAATGAATTTTATTTTTAATTATTTTCAATAATTTTATTTTTAAAATTTGAATACTCATATACTTAATTATGATTTATAATAATATCATTTTAAAAACCCGACTCACAAACAAACGAGTCTACTCTGGGCTAGCTCAAGCTTGACTAATTAACACATCGAGCTCGGCTTATGAGCCATTTAGTGAACCAAGCCCATAGGTTTTGACTCACTTACACCCCTATTCTTAAGTATACTTCATCTAGAAGGTGAGAAATCTTCAACATCATCGGAACTATCATTTGAAGACCCTCTCTATAAATTTCTTTGAACGCATCCCATATATTGTTGTAAGTAACATCAACCAAAGCTAGTGTTTGACATTTTTCTCCTTAGCCCTTCATCACTTTATCATAATGAAGGCAATCAAGTAATGGGCTGGCCTCTCCCTTGTTCTAGAAATATACGACAACTAGATAAATAGTAAAAGCAATAAAACAGTAATATTACATGACAATTAATACAACCAACACAATGGAATAATGTAGTGGGCAAGCAATGAAGGCGGGAGTAGTTCATTTTATCTTTGGTGACAATCAATTAAATCCAAAATTTCTACATTGACATTACATAAAAGAACATAAAGCTACATATACAAATATTATATATCAACGATGGAGACATGTAAATGATAGTAATGCATCATGATCTAGCCTTCTGAGTTTCCAAAATAACATTAAGGATCCTTCGAGGGACGTATATCCTTTTCTTTATCGTTTTACCAAGCAAAAACTTGGACAGTTTTTCATCTGATGAAGCTAATCTGAAGGCTTCATCCTCTGAACAAGTTTCATCAACCATGATTGTTGCCCTGGTCTTCCCATTGATTTGAACAGGAAGCACAATTTTTGAATCACTCAAATACTCAGTCCTTGCCTGAAAAGGAAAAATTAAGATAACATTACAGGAAAGTGACGAGTTTTCGCCTCTCCATACTTCTAATTCACATAGCAGAATGAGAAGACAGAGATCCATTGGAAGGCAATATAAGGAAAAAAACAGGAAGTCTCCGTTATCATTATCACTATCATCAATTAGCTTTGTTAATTATTTGAAGTCAATTTTATAAATTCTTATTTTTGAATACTGCATTAGGCGCTAAGCAAATTATTATAAAAATTCATGAGCACAACTTCTATCCAAACTATTTTAGAAACTTTGAATAGGGGAAGGTTTAACATAGAATTGGGATGGTTATCTTCGCTTTTTTAAATAATAGTATTTAAATAACAATTCTACAGTTCAAAGAACAAGAAAGCATATTCCACAATTAAAAATGTTATAAATTATACTTCATATTAAAAAATGAATCTACGTCTTGACTGGTTTGTACACAAAGAAATTAATAAATAAATACAGTGGAAAATAACAGAAATATAAGAAAATTATCTCTCTATGCTAAAGAAATAGCACAACCATACCACTGGAAAATGTTCATAAGCCAGTGATTTTGAATGCCCCAAGCGAGACCATAGCTCCTCTGCCATGTGAGGGGCATATGGTGAGAGGAGTAGAACAAATGGCTCAATAACAGATTTTGGATATCTATCCCACTGCAAGAAAAATAAAACTATGATAACCACGGAGATGTAACTCATAATCCAAAAGCATGAAAAATACACTAAATGTGAAAAAAGAACACTTTCTTAATTAATTCAATGCATGAATTATACACAATAGCTGGCAAATCTTTACATAAATTTGGAATAAAATACAAATTTCACAGAGCGTCATGGTCGAGGCTAATAAATATTTATTTGCAAAGAAGGAAAGATTCAAAGTAACGATGCAAAGGTGCCAAACATAAGTGGTTTGGTTTTATTTAGCTTGGCTCATTAGCTATCAAGTAGAAACACGAGCTGAACTCAAGCATGTTGAACTTCAAGAAGTTTGCCAAGGTCAGTTCATTTATAATCGAGCTAAACAATTGATAAAACCAAAACAAGAAATCAAGACAGTAGCCATTAAATGCATTAACAATTTCTCATATGATGGCTTTAATCACATAACAAAACATTTTCTATTGCTAAAATAGCATCATTTAACCACCATACAATCTAAAAATACACATTTTCCATGATTGTTAAGAGTGGTTGATGAAATGGATAGGAGAAAACGAGATGAGCTTTCTATATATCTATGACGCTCAAGATACGTTCAGTTATACTTGTCAATAGCTCATAAGAGCATGTATTATAGCTCATAATATACTAAGGGTTGCTTCTAATACAATTGGCATAGGAGCAGGTGGACAATAGTACATCCATGCATGGTATAGAGCACAACACATATAGGACATTATTTTGTTGGCCAAGCTTTACAATAATGATTTTAATTATTTTTTAAATCCTATTATGAGAGATAGTAGTGCCTGAGTTTGAGATCAATCTGAATTAAAAGAAGAGAATGATATGAAAGTGATGAGGCTACGCGCTATTTGGGAGAAAATGAACAGAAACAATAAGAAAAAACATTCATGATGTGATGTTGGACGACATGAAAATGATGATATTCAATATTTATCTCATAAATCAACAATATAGGCTCCATAATTCTCATTTTTTTATATTGTTGAATTATTAATATTTATTCATAATTTTATGGTTTGTCATATCTAAAAGTTCTACCATATATAACTCTATAAGACTCATATGCTATTCACTATTGACAAGTATAATATTCAACACTTAAAAGTGTGGTGTAAGCAAATTTTTTAAGATATGGCAGAAATTCTATTAGTTTTCTTTACGATGGACTTCAAAATTCAAATAAATAACTTTATAGCTAAATCTCATATTTTCTTTATTTTCATTTTTTGATTCCATGGAACAAATCATCAACAGATTTAGGCTTCATTTGGGATGAATTTTTTATTGCTTCTTAAAACGAATTTTTAGTAAAAAAATTAAAAATTTGGACCAATATGATAAGAAAGAAAATTATAAGAGCAATAGTAAACCCAAAAGATATTATTAACAATTAATTTGGTGCCATACGGAAAAAGAATTCATAATCCAAAATAACAATTTCATCACGATGGGCAGTAACCTAGTTATAATATGCATGCTTAGAACTTCAAAATACAATGATCAATCAAATCTGGATGTTAAACACGCATACAAACCACCGATTGTTACATTAATTGGGTTGGTACAATTTACATGATTTTTTAAACAAATTAAAAGCATGAAGCACTATATGTGTTAGCCGGAGGCTCTAGACAAGTTTTTTTATTCCATAAAATGATGATCGTGTAAACTAGATGTTACATATATTTGGTAATGGCCTAATTTTACTAAAAACGTTTCTCTACGCGCTTGCTCATGCAACAACACATCCAAATTGTCGCCATGAAAAAGTCCCTAATTGGATATTGGCATATTGGAAGCGCCGCCCAGCTGGGTGGCCTCAAGGCGGATTCACATAAGATAAGAGCAATTAAATTGAACTACGTTAACTCCTTTGGTGGAAACAATTCAATTGAATGACAAAATGATGTTTTTTTTTTGTAATTTTTTTTAACGACAAAATTAACTGTTATTATGTAATGTAATTACAAAATATTTTTGTGCCAACGACACATTAACAACGTAAAAATTAAACATTTGATTGCCAGAATAAATTGTAACCACACTTGCTCTAACTAGAGATAATTCCATAAAGTTACAATCAAACCTTATATGCAGCATTGATGAACTCCATCATTGCAGAAATGCCAGTATTGAATCTAGTTCCTTGGATTTCTTCTGATACCTGTAATCAGATGAAGAAGTTCTCCCTGAAACGTGGTCAACAAATTTATGAAGCAGCTTTTTCTCCATTAATGGTAAACCTTCACATAGTTGAAGGCTATAGTAGATAGTTGATTTAACATGAATATGAGGGTGGGTGAACGAGTGACAAATGAAGGCAGAAAGAGCTTAAGGTTAGAGGAGAGATAATCGGAATCCACCACGAAATAATACAGAAGAAGATTAATAAATATTTCACTCAACAATCAAATTTAAGTTCCAATATAATATTAGAATCCTTTATATAGGCTAGGGCTCATACTACTTGCTTAAATTGCTTAAACATTGAAGGAAGAAAATAATATATCAGCATGAAATAAAATATTTAAAACACAATTAAAACATGTATAAATATTCACAAATACTTTCCTAAAAAGCATTAACTATCAAAGAAAGGAATAATGTCTTTATTACCTATGAGTAGAACATTTAAAATATTTAAAACATTTTAAAACTAAATGAGAACAAGCCTATAAACTAGTGTAAGAGAATCCAAATGACCATATCGATCATTCATCAATGATACAAAGTGATTTATTGTATCAGTTCATCCATAAAATCATTTAAGGTTAACTACAAGTAGATCCTCGAGATTTAAGAACAATTTCTCATCCGTCCCTAATTTTGAAAGCACTAATATTAGGTTCTCAATATTTTTAGAGAAAGTTTATTGGTCATTTCAACCATTGAAAAATGAGATTGCATGGACTTCCAACTCGCCGACCATCTCCACTTGATTAGGTATTTTAGATAGCTCCCACAAGCCTGTCTTTATCTGATTTCTCGCCCAACTAGTCCATGTAAGGCCATCCGCCTTGACTTTAGCCCTAGTAGGCTCTCACTAGTCAACCGCCACACCAAGCAAACTTGCAGCTGACCTTCTTCCTAAAAATCCACCTCCTTTCTTATTCTCTCAATTCCACTTCATTGATCCATAGCATCATTGCGGCCACAACACCAATTCGAGGCTGTCCTAAACATAATTAATTCTATAGCTAGTTTTTCTTCTTTTCTATATTTCCTAATAAAAATTCTTCTAGACTTTTAAAATTCTCCCAAAGTCTTGTCATGGTATTAAAAATTTAAGCTTTTTATTTTCATTGAATTTCTAAAATATATGGTCTTCATTACTGCATTGCTATAATCATGCAGCCTTCATTGTTTCAGTGCTCTTCCTTCCACTGGTACATACCAATAGAGTTAAAAAGTGTGTTATGGTACATCGCAATACATGACACACCCTTGGCGCCATTTGCAAGGCAAGGTAAATGTGGGCTAAAATGGTGGGCGCTATTTATTGTCCTTATAGCACTATTTTGATTACGGTCTATACTTAATTTTAATATTATACATATATCATTCATGAATTTTATTTTATTTTAATTAATATAATAGGGAAAGAGTGAATCGAGAAATCGGGCCCACTAAAACCCGTTTCGCATATGGGTGTGTGTCGCTTAAATAACGAGTTAGCAATCCAGGTTCCTATAACAAATTGGTGGGAAACACATCAATGAAATGCTAGGCCTAGGAGATTGGAGCTTCATGTATCTTCAAGGGGCCTCAACTCTCGAGTTTGATAATGAGTAGTGAACACCAAGAAGCATCCATCAAGCATGTGATACACTAGGGGGCCAAGAAAAGTTCATAGTCACTATGTAAGGAGGAGAAATAATGGGTGAAATAATCAGAAAATTTTATACAGAAAAATATGGCTGATTTGAATTTAGATTGAGGAGAAAATTAGAAAATGTTTATTTAAGAAAAGATGGCTGATTTAAATTCATATTTGGGAGAAAATTAGGAAGATTTTATTTAGGGAAAGAGGGCTATTTGAATTTAGATTGAGGAGGGAAATAGAAAAAGTTTATTTAAGGAAAGAGGGATGATTCAAATTCAAATTTGAGAGGAAATTATGAAGGTCTTATTTAGGCAAAGAGGACTGACTTGAATTCAAATTTGTGAGGAAATTATGAAAGTTTTATTTAGGGAAAGATGACTGATTTGAATTTAGATTTGAGAGGAAAATATGAAGGTTTATTTAAAGGTAATTAGGTTGTTTTAGTTTCATTATATGATTATGGCTATTGTAGTTTCTCTTTGAGGTTGTTCCTGGGGCACCTACAGTTTGTGGGAGACCCGATCTGCCTCTCGAATAGTAGATCAATTGTAACTTTTACTATTTGTTGAAGAGATAATAACAAATCAGCCCTAATATTTGGTTCCTGCATTTTTCTTCTTATCTACTTGTCGTTTTTACTTCCAAGATGCATCAAGTATCATAATGAGGTTTTGGAGAGATGGCAGCAAAGAAGATGGATGTGTTGAAAGGCAAAGTGGAGCAAATCACATCCTAGATAGGAGAGAAGTTCTAAGCCATCAAAGGAAAGTTTTAACCATGGAAGAAACATTTTCATCCATGGAAAGCTGATTTGGAGGGATGGAGGAGATGATAAGGAAGTTCATGGAGATGCAATCCAAAACTCCACTAGTGGTTATGATTGCTAACCCTAACCAATATTTGATTGGGATTTCTTTGGCCAAATATAAGGAAAAGGAGATCGGACATAAGGCGTTTGATGAGGATAGTTTCTTTAGTGAGTGGTAAGTTCTAAAATTAACTTAAACACTATCTAACTTTTGCAGTAGAACTCCTCTACACTTTTTCCCACATACTTCTATGCCATTACCTATCTATTCCTTACAAAAATGCATCAAAAAGGCTTTTAAGGGGCCTTGGCAAAGACAAGGCTGAATCTGAGTATGCTTGGTTTTAGGTCCTATCTGGCCAATCTAAATCTCTTCAGAAATTATGAAACTTTCCAGAATAAAAAGTAGATACACTCCTCTTCCCTTTAAAAAGTTTCCTCATACTAGAGTTTCCACGTTGTGAAACCCTAAAACCTTAAACCCTAAGTTAAGAATTATAACTAGATCCCCTTCTCCACAACTTCGCCTATTTCTTTCAAATCATTGCAAAGGCTTCTACACCATCCATATCACCTATTAGAAGTCATCCATGTCATATTTAGTCATCATCCAGAGGCCTAAGAAACACCAATTCACCATTAGAATGATGTATGCAAATAGAGGATAGAAAGTATAAAACCTTTGACGAAGTACGCTTTGCAAGAAAAACAAATAGGCTGCAGCATAAGTTCACGAAAGAAGCGGGCAGAAAAATAGCAATAAAAGCACACAGCTATGTAACTGCAACTAATAAATAAACTGTTTTAACCAATAAACACAATATATATAATCTGAGCCAACCTAAACTAATAGGTTTCATCCAGCGTTTTTAATGTTTCATATATCTCTATGACTAGGATGTCGTATCATTGGTCAACAAGCCATCTACAGTACATACTCTAGATAGCTTCAGGTCTAAAGCAAGATCCATGAAAGTGAAATTTGACAACAGAATAATTTAATTTCAAACGATTGAAGCCACATGAATTCAACTGAAAAAAAGAGGAACCTAACCTTTGCAATACATCTATGAAGAGATTGGAACTGGTCCACAGTCGGCTCATCATTAGTAACAACTGTTCCATCTTTATACAACCCAGTAGGCAAAGGAGAACCAACAATCAATCTCCAAGTCCTTGCTAGAAATCTATGAACTCCTTCAATCCCACCAGTGCTCCATGATTTTGAATCTCTGCATACAAATTATATAGGTTGGCACTAATGCATTATCAGACTCCTTCAAAAGAAATTTCATCGCGTTGGATAATCATGCAAAAAATTACCTTAAAGGGCCCATGAACATTTCATACAAGCGAAGGGAATCTGCACCATATTCAGAAATAACATCATCGGGGTTTATGACATTCCCTCTGCTTTTGCTCATTTTATAAGCTCTAGCAATCAATCGGATATTAGGATTATCCTTCAGCACATGGAAGTCTCCAACTTTAGCTACCTGCGTAAATGTCAGGCAACTCCAATACTATGATTGCAAAATGAAATGTCATTTTGGCTATAGCTTCTAAAGAAACATAAAAATCTAACGCAGACACACATGGACAGTCCTAGATACATCTCCGGACAGACACAGTTACGTGAAAGGCCCAAGTTACCTTCTCGGCTGAAATATTTTCTTGTATATGATCACTAGGATTGCAATCAGAATCAGCAGACACAAATTTCCCATCTTTGTCTTTATATGCTGTATACTCGATCTGCCAATAAATGCTATGAGAGCTATTGATAATAGATTTGACATGGCTACTGCAACAGATCAATCCAACTTACTTGTCCGAGTATCAAACCTTGGTTTATAAGGCAATGAAAAGGCTCCTTGGTAGAAACAACACCGATATCATAAAGAACCTGAAAATTTTGAAACTTCAAGATGATAGAAAATAGATAATAAAGAAAGAAAAAAACTCAAAAGACATGACTTCGGGGAAATAGAAATTAGTAAATTAGTTTTATGGGGGAACTTAATAGTTTAGGCGAGATGCTCAATCTCTAATAAAGAAAACATATTAATCTTAGGCCTAATGTTTGTTATTTTTCTTAAATTCTATTAAACTATGTACATGCAAGAAAATATCCTTTTATATTAAGCATAACATCACGATCATAGTAGGCCTAATGCATTTCTTAGGATCACATGTTTAAATAATTTTAAGATATTTCTAATTAACCCAATTCATAAATTTTTTTAATACAAAATAATATCTATTCAAGTAATAGATGTTAATTCTTATATATTATATTTACCTTTCAAGCATATTAAACAAATTGATTGATAATAGGTGAATATTAATGCTAAGTAATTCTAAATGTTGATTATAATGATATTAAATTAAAAAAGATTAATAAAAGTTCCCAACTCTCGACATTGAAAAGTTAGTATTATAAGCTTCAACCTAGAGATAGAGGAGTCATTGATATTTACTATGCTAGAATTTCTAAACTTCATCAGTAATTGTTAGGGCCAACAAGCAATGTGACAAGCAACGAAATAAAAGTGTTAAAAGCCCGTGGGCTCCGAAAATTCCATAATTGGTGATGTTGTGATCCCGGCCTCTCCGCGCCATTCATCTATTTTTCTTTTAAATGTTTGTGTGACGATGACGGCGAAAGAGAGTTTTAACGAGATTAGGTTCCGGGGGAATTTTTAGTAGGCAGATTGGGTTTTAGGTAAGACACTACCCAGAGATTTCGCCCTCATTTTGTGAGGACTTTTTGATCTGAGTTCTTCTTTCCTATAGGCGCAAGCCCTTACCCCTCCCGATAATAGGAGAGAACTTTCAATTAAGGCTAGTTGTTAAAAATGTCACATATGTTATGAACCTATCGTATAATAGCAACAGTTTTAGAGTTTGTATTTTGGATTTGAACATTGAAATTTAAAATTTATAGTTTATCACCATAAACTTAAAACTGGTGGTAGGGGGAATGAAGATGAGCCCAATCAAGATCCCATGGTTCCGTCGTCGCGGGCTGTCATGTTCCCTGGTCTACTTAGTCAGAGGAGGTAGTTGACCCAACCTGACAGAAAGCACCTTGTCGGCAGTCATGGGTTGCTCCGTCCAAGAATACCTTATAGACCTGGGTTGGTATTTATCTTAGGGGATATATATGGATTCATCTTAGCTGACAGAGGGCTTTATGCCTATCGAATATACCCTATGATTCATAACTCAAGGGTTTGATGTCGTTAGGGAACATACAGCCTTTGACCGTGATCGTAATATAATGGTACCATTTTGCGGCAAAACCACCCAATTAGAGGGCACGTGACTATTTGAAGATGAATCAAAGTGATACACCCGACACACATTCACTCTTTGTGAGTTGAGGTTAATTTCAAATTTATCACCCCTAACAAATGGTTGCGGGAGGTGGATGTTTTTTTTTTTAGTTTTAAGTTTTTAGTTGATAGATTTTATTTCAAGAATTTGTGCTTTTGTTAGATTTGAGATTTGACCCCAGTTGAGATTTTCTGTCAACACGGCCATCATCGGGGCGAAGTTTGAGGTCACTAGTATTTTTGTAGGAATTTGGGAGACATTTTGTACTTCAAGTCATGTCAACTCCGGTTCTTTTGAGGATGAAACTTGAATATTTGACCCACGCAGCAATCTCGAATCGTTGGATTTGGAACTTAAATATAACGATCGGAGCACATGCGGGTTATAATATTTGACCCTACGCAACATTCTCGGACATTGGTGTTTGTAACTTTAATGCATTGACCGGAGCACATGCAGAGATTTAGCGCTTCAATTTAAAGGATCATATTTAATACATGAGGGGCATTTTAAAATATTTAAATATGATCCATCTCGCAAGTGATTTCATTTAGAAAATGGCTCGGGATTTCATTTAAGGGCCTATGAACGCCTTCTGTCCGCTTGTACACATGTTGCAAATCCGGTAGCGTTAATTAAATATTTCTAGATCAACACGATCTTTTCCCTTTCTCACGTATTCGTAATATGCCTCTTTATGAAAGGGCAATAGATAACCATCGTGGGATAGTGTTAGAAAGAAGACAAGTGAGGCTTTTGTTAAAATGCTAGTAGCACATAAATGGTCTAGAGTTTTGAGTCAAAATGAGACATCTCTTGGTGTCATCAGCACTCTTTGAATAGATCTCTTCAAGACTATTGATTAAAGAATATCATGCAGATCTTATGGATAATTTTCATAAATAAACAAGTTTGATATCCTAATCAAATTATTATCTTCAACTTCTATTCATTGTAGTTAAGATAAACATCTACAATGAGCCTCCAACATATGTTGTAGTTCCCTTGACTTTAAATTTGTAGCACCATCAATTCCTATGCTACTACAATCATAGCCTTTGTTTTTTTTTTAATCAAAACATAAGTCCCAAAATATATTTATGAGAAGATTATCCACACAAATGTCCTTACCAACTTAACGATTGAGAACTCATATATCTTTTAAAAATTCCTAAATGATTTTGGAGGTACTATTGCAATTATCATGAAAATGCTTTGTGAGAGCCAAGATACCCATTTTGTCATAACAAAATTGCTTAAAGCAAGAGAATGCTAATGTGGAGTATCTTGTTTATAATATTCATCATTATGTCAGACTCTAGATTTTATGTAACTAGACCATACTATGTTTTATTTGAGATTTATAAACAGTGAGTGATGTTAAGTATGATGAGGTGCTATTAAATCATTTTCATGTATTTTAAGCCTTCACTATGCATTTGAGTCACTCCAAGTTATGGATCGTGCTAGCTCTTGATATCTTTAGGAGTTATTAAGTTATGTCATTTAATTTAATATCTTTTGAATTTAAACATTTATTTAGACATATCAATAATAAATTTCAATAATATATAAGGGTGTATTGTGTAATGCCACTTGAAATTCCAAGTCTCCTTCCCCTTTTTTATTGAAATTAATTATGTTGAGTGTTCTTTATTTTGTTCCAAATTTTGTATAAGTCCAAAATATTTTTCTAAGTCCCGAATTTTTAAGAAAATTTTGACGACCTCCCGGCGTCCCCTCCCCAATGCCGGGAGGTAAAGGAGTGCTCGACTCGGCCGGAATAAATAGACGACGAGGAGCTTTGGGAGAGCGAATCGATCCCATAAAAGAGTCTTCAAGTCTTCTAATGTGCGCAATCTGTTGGTTTAAGAAAATTAACTTAATTTTGATTAATCTTAAAAGAAATATTTATTTCCTATGAAAATTTGGCAGCCTTCCGGCGTCCCATCCCCGACGGTGGGAGGTTGGGGATGGCACTTGCCCTTTAGCTCGACTCGGCCGGAGCAAATCAACGGCGAGGAGATTGGAAGAATAGTGTCTGCGCTCCCTCGATCTGATAATCTCGACGACCAAAGGCTTCAGGGGACCGTATCAACCCCGGGACTTCCTTCAAATTTTGTCCTTGCTTGCTCCCACATGTTTTAAAATCCTCTCACTTCTCTCCCACTTTTTTTCTTCTTTTTTTAAATATTATACATATAATATTATATTATATAATAATGATAATAATATAAATAATAAATTAATATTATTATTATATAATATTATATATATTATATTATATAATATTATATATAATATAATATATCTTCTATGTTATATAATATTATATAAGGAGGCCAGACGTCAGGCTGGTTTTTGAGGAGATGTGCGTCTTCGATTTGAATTCGCAGAGGGAGTCAGCTCAAACGGAGGAGATGAACGAGAGCACAGGTATGGGCTTCGGTTTCTCCTTCTCTGTATTCCTTTGTGCGTATTAGATGAATGAGAGGAGTGAGTCTTTTTTATGTCGTGAGTGGGGAAGTTATCAGAGTGGGATATGAGATCGTGGGTCTCTTAGGGGGCTCGTGGGGAAGCAGTTACAGTCGACAAAGCCTACATGCATTATATGACATTTCCTAAATATTTATTTGCAAGAATGAAAAAAAAAAATGTTGTTAAATAATTTCATACAAGTAATTGATAAGTAGAGTACATTGAATAATTTAATACTTAATAGGAGTATTTTATTTTCTTATAAATATACATGCTCCTTGCTTAAAATTAGATCTTTTATTTATTTATCAAAATAAATATTTATTTAAAATTTATTACTGGACTAAGCTAGCTATATTTATAATCAGAAACGCTCATGTTAGTGCAAAAGACCAACAAGTATATTACTATCTTTTTTATATATTTGAAGATTATATTAGAATTTTTTCTCCCACCGAGCATGTAGCCCATTAGATGTTATGATGACTATTTTTCAAAAAACAAGAGTACGCGGGGCCATAGACAAGTGACTCAATTGCCCTATACCTTAGCATTTTAAGATGGATGTATAGTTTTAGATATATTAAAACAAAAGTTCTATATGATAAAAATTAAAGACCTCTAGTATGGATTAATAGAATATGAAGTTCTTAGAAGCTCGGTAGTTTGTTTCATAATTTAAATTATGCACGCTTTCGTATTATTGTGTATGCATTGATTAAGAGTTATGAAAATAGGATAATTATGTAATATAATGAATGTTGTGACGATTTAGGCAGATTAATTTTTTGCTCACTTGATTTTAGTTAGAAAAATCAAAACGATTGTTTGTGTCTAACTGAATTATCCGTCTCTATTACACCTCATGGTAATTAGAAGAGATCACAGTTGGGCGTAACATTTTATTTTTAGGGGCGATAGGTCTGTTTTTTACAAAATTACAAGAATGACTTGATCCTCACAAAAGATGGGAATTGAAGGAATTTATTAACAAAATTTAAAAATATTATCTTATTCGACTGGTCCTTGTACCTGGACCGATTCAGGTTTATAGGAGGCATACTACTTCCAAATCCATAGGAGTTCGGC